CCGTCCGCGACAGCCGGCGTCACGTGCGCCCGCGCCTGGCGGCCGGCCGGTGCGTCCTCGTTGCCACGCAACCGTCTGCGCGTCCAAGCCTCTGAGGGGCGCCGGGGCCGGTGGGTGTGGTTCGGTGGGCTCCGGCGCCCTCCGCCGTCCCGCAAAGGTTAAGGGTTCGATCCCCCGTGGGCGCGCGTGCAGGAGGCGCCCGGCAGGCGTTTCTCTTGCTCTCCTCGCCCTCTCTCTCTAAAATCAATAAACCTGTACTCGGGTGACGATTAAGAAAAATTAAAAGGCATCACCATACCAAGGTCATCTTAAGTTTCTGCTATATTCTCTTCTAGGAGTTTTGCATTTTACATTAAGGCCTGTGATCGATTTTGAGCTAATTAGGCTAAGCTTTTGACAATATGTATATTATGGACAGTTCAAAATTAAAATGGATAAGGCTACTCAGGATCTCAGGCAGCTACCGGAAGGAGGTGGCTGCGGGGGGCTGGGGAGGGAGGAGCATGGCATTGCTGTTAAATGGGTATAAAGTTTCACTTCTGCAAGATAAACAATTTCTAGAGATCTGCGGTACAACATAGTGCCTGTAGTCAACAATACCATATTGTGTACCCAAAAATAAGTTGAGTGTAGATCTCATGTTGAGTGTTCTTACCACAAAGAAAGGGGGGCCTGAGGAAACTTTTGGAGGTGATGGATGAGTGTTCGAGCTTGATTGCGGTGATGGTGTCACGGTGTATGCATGTGTCCAAACTCATCAGTTTGTATGTGTTAAATATATGCAATTTCATATGTCAATTGTACTTCAATAGAGCCTTTAAAACAACAAAATTAATAAGATGACTACAAATACACTTATTTCAAGTTATTTAAAAAAAAATTTAATTTATTGATTTCAGAGAGACAGAGGAAGGGGGGAAGAGAGAGAAAGGCCAATCTTTTTCAAATGCAGTTCAATTTAGGCCACTGCTCCCCCCCCCCCACTCTTACCCACTTGTTCACCTAAAACACTTCACAGGTTCCTAGTGCTCCCAGAATGAACACAAAACATAGCATGAGGTGCCAGACGTTTTACACCTGGCCCTGCCCGTCTCCTGCATGCACAGACACAGGTAGGAACACACACTCATGCACGCATGTATACACACTGGTACTCTGGCGCTACCACTTGCCCTGTTGCACACAGATCAGCCCCTGCCATTACCGACTGTTTTATGTTTGCAACCAGCCCTTTCAAAAGGATCAGAGAAACAGAACTTCCTGTACATCAACTGCCCTGAATGTCTGGGGAGGGGCCCTGGGAAAGGGTGGTGACGTTCATTTATTGAGCAGCTACTGTGTGCCAGACCTCTTCTAAGCACTTTGTGGGAATAAATGGATTTAATTCATTTGTTTCCTGTTAAATGGGGTGGCAGAAAGGGTGACTGACTCCCTCTTCCCGATTAGCACCAGAGAAGTCATTGAATGAGAGAGAGGCATGGGCACCAGGTGTAATGACAGAAGGAAGACCCTGTAGAGACTCGGGTGGGGGGAGGCGAGGGTGCTGAGTATATGCAGCACTGGAGGAGGTGGAGACAGACAGAAGACCAACTTTGTCACACCTGTTCTTGCCTCTCCTTTGCACAGCTCTGCATACTGTTCGCCCAGGCCCCCTTGGCAGAAATCAGCCATGGCACCACCAGTCAGGGCACAGGATGGGAGGTACCCAGGGAAGCCAGGATAGGTCAGTGCCCCAGGCACCCCCTCCTCCTACTCCTCGCCCCCAGAGTGGGGGCTGCAGATGGGAGTCCCTTCCTCTCCTGTTGCTTCTCGCCAGAAGCTTAGGAGACCGTGCTCCGGGCAGGCGGCGGTCGACCAGAGCTCTCCACACTGAAGCCTGTTGATCCTGCAGGGCTCCCACCGCAGCCTGTGAAACACTCATACCCAGAAATCAAGACACCTGGGGCAGGGTTGGTTCCTTCTGTTGCTGCAAGAGAAAATCGGCCCCGGCCTCTCCCAGCCTGAGTGGAAACACAAGTCTCAGACCAGCAAGCTGAGTATGAAATTCCGCGTAAATACTAGTAAATATACGCAGACACACCACCACACATTTTCCCAGGGGTACATTCGCACCCAGGTAAATGCACCCACGTGTGAAAAGATTCACGCCCTGCAGACGAGCACTGTTCTTCCTGTGGCAGGTCGTGAAGAGGCCTCTTTACCACAATCTGCAGGGTTTTCATGTATTAAGTGAGCACATGCTTCTGCACTCACCACCAGGTCCGCGTACAACGCGCTCTGAGAGCACACACGGCGCGGTTCCCTGCGCCGCCGCCCTCCGGCCAGCAGGGGACGCCGCCCCGCCCCGCGCAGAGNAGAGGGCCGCTCTCCGTCCGGAAGCCCCGCCCCTCCCGGAAGCCAGCCTCTGTGCATCCGGAAGATGGCGGTGCCCACGGGCGCGAGAGAGTCGTGTAGGGGTTGCGAGCGGCCCGTCGGCCGCGGGAGGCGCGGAGGTGGGCGAGCGCCTGGCGGCAGCGGGGCGAAGACCCTGAATCTGCTAAAGCCAGAGGTGGAGGACTGCTGGCGGCCGACCTAGAGGGCCAGCCCCCCGCGGCGCCGAGAGGCCCTGGGCGGAGCGGCTCGCGCCTCCAGGCGGGAGGAAGAGCCGCACGGAGCTGAGGAAGGAGAAGCCACAGCTGAGGACGGCGCGCTGGCTGCAGAGGACAGTAGACCTCGCGCGGAGCCAGGGCGGCGGAGCCGGAGCAAGGAGCGGGCCCGGGCGGAGGGCGCCGAGGGGCGGGCGGGCCGTAAGGCCACC